TTAAAATTACTATGATAAAAGTAATAAAAAATATATTTAGGTTTTCATGGCTGAACAAATATCTGAGCCTGGCTTTTTGGTTGCAATTAAATGTATTGATAAGAAAGCATTGAAAGGTAAAGAGGAAACGTTAGAAAATGAAATTAAAGTTTTACGAAAGTAAGTTTGCAATATATTTATTTATTTTAAATTATTTATTATTTTATTAATAATGCTAATAATTATTCTTTTGTTTTCCATTTCTTTTTCTTCATCTTTAATATATAATATCTCCCCCCTTTTTTTTGCTATCACTTACACATTTCTGTTATTTTTCATTTATTGCAATAAATTATTTTCACTTAAAAATTTCTTTCATTTTAAACGAATAAAAAAATTGTTTATTACTAAAATAAATATGAAATCATTTTTTAAAAAAAATAAATAAATAAATAAATAAACAAATAAACAAAAAGTTGTCCTAATATTGTAAGTCATTTGCTTTTAGTATCATTGCAAAATTTTTTCACTTTAAAATTTAACAATTAACTTAATAATATCGGAGAAAATTAAAAAAAAAAAGAAATTTGAAGATGAAAGATATTTTAAATTTTGAAGTAAATTTATTCTATTATTATCATACTTGGAATAAATTTTTCGTCATCTTATTTTTTCCTTTAAATTTCTTTTTTAAAGAAAAATATTTCTTACATTAATTTTGTTTAGATTACGACATTCAAATATTGTACAATTATATGATACATTTGATGAGAAACAATATGTATACCTTGTTATGGAGCTTGTTACAGGTGGTGAACTATTTGATCGAATTGTTGCAAAAGTATTATTTATGATATTATCTATTTAATAATGTTAATTTTATTCAAAAAATTTTTTCTACTTCCAGAAATAATTTCTCTTTTTTCAAATTAACATTTAGACTGAAATTATTTTATTAGTGTATTGGTAAAATAAATTGATTAATTAATTTTTTGTTTTTAATACTTTGCAAATATTTTTTGCGATAAGCTAAATTCATATGATAATGAAAGTTTTCATATCTGTCACTTTGTTTGTTTTTTTTGTTTTTTTTTTTGAATTAATCAATTACTATTGTTATTATAGAAAATAATAGCTTAATAATCTTTGTACTAATTAAATTAAAATAAAGCATTTTCATTTCATTCTATTAATTTCATATTTTTAAATTTTAACATTAGATAAGATAAATGTTGAAAAAAAGTTAATTAAATAAATGAAAAAGAAATTATGTGCTAATAGTTTTATTTATTTTTTTAAAATTAGGGTTCATTTACGGAACGTGATGCATCGGTATTAATGCAACAGGTACTTGAAGCCGCAGCATTCATGCATGAAAATGGAGTCGTTCACAGGTAATTTCAATTGTTTTCTTTTTCAATTTAAAACTTAAATAATTCAGGTAGATATAAGAGAAAGGAATTAATTGAGAGAACAAAAGAAAGTTTAATTTAATTGAAAAAGAAAAACTGTGATAATAATTTTTCTATGCATTTCTTTTTTTGATATTTTACTTAATTATACAAATAATAGTAAATTTTTGTTTTTATAATTTTTAATTAACAAAATCATTAATTCGATATTTCCGGAAATATTTTTTTATCCCAAAAAAAAAATTGTATATAAATAATTTGTTCATAAAATTTAATTTTATTCTAAATTACAATTTTGAATTAATGATAGGTTGAATAAAATTATAGCACATCACGTATTTCCGGCAATTCAATTATTAAAAAAAAGAAAATTTTTAATTTTAGGGATTTGAAACCAGAAAATTTATTATTTTATGACCAAACAGAAGATTCAAAGATAATGATTTCCGATTTTGGTCTTTCAAAAATTGAAGAATCCGATGTTATGGCTACAGCATGTGGTACACCAGGTTATGTTGCACCTGAAGTTCGTTTTAAATTATTTCATTCGAACAGTTAGATCGTTTATATTATCCGAAAATATTTGTATTCCATTAATAGTAATAATTAAATGTGGTCTAAAAAAAAAAAGGAAATTTCAAATTTCCAATAAACTGTGTGAAAATTAATTATAAAAAGCTTTGTTATCATAAATTATCATAAAATTTAATCTGAAAATTTTTTTATCATTTTGAATGAAAAAGTTTCTAAACTATCATCATCCATCGATAGTGAAAATAGCAAAGTGAATTTGACTGCATTAATTTAATAATGGCAACATTTAGTCACTTTTCGATTTTCGCAATCAAATTTGATTAGAATCACAAATTGGAATGATTGTAAGGCGGAAAATGTTAGTGAAAGTAGCTTGATAACAGTAGTGATTGTTTGAACTAATTTTAGAAAAACCAGTTTTCATTCATATTGGTCAAATTTAAAACAATAAATTAATCAAAGTTATGTATTATAACTTTGTTTGTTTCTTTAGGAGTTTAGAAAGTGTTGAATTTTAATGTTTCGTTTCTTTTTTCTTTTCATAAAAATTTATAATATTATTGATCATATTGTTGACAATAGAAAAGAACTTCTTTTTAAATATCTAAAGTAATAAATAATTTAACAGTTGTATGGAATAAAACAAATTCAAGTAGTCTAATAAAATAAAATGAAACAATTTAATAGGTAATTAATTAATTAAAAATAACAGGTATTGCAACAGAAACCATATGGTAAAGCGGTTGATATTTGGTCCATTGGTGTTATAACATATATCCTTCTATGCGGTTATCCACCATTTTATGATGAAAATGATGCGAATTTATTTGCTCAAATAATTCGAGGTGATTATGAATTTGATTCACCATATTGGGATGAAATTTCTGAATCAGCAAAAGATTTTATAACACATTTGATGTGTTGCGATCCGGAACAACGATATACGTGTCATCAAGCATTATCTCATCCGTGGTAATTAATTTTCATCTCTTATAGTTTATTATATCTAATTCTTTTCTATCTATCTCATCATTTTACAATAACGATATACCTTCTAGATGTCAATTTAACTTTTTTTCCTTTCGAAATTAACTTTATAAAAAGAGCAAAAAATTTTTATTCATGTATTTCCGATCTATCCTTTATTTCTCTCTTTGCTTATTGAATATATGTATCAAAAAAAGTATATTCATTTCTCATTTTCATTTTTAAATTAAATTCATATGTATATATATATATATATATATATATAGGATCAGTGGTAATACAGCTGGTACAAAAGATATTCATTGTTTGGTGGCATCACATTTGAAGATAAGTTTAGCGAAGCGAAATTGGAGGAAAGCATTCAATGCGACAACTGCAATTCGTCAACTTCAAATGCTCCGATTATCATCAATCTCACAAGCAGCATCCACATCAACTAGCAAATAAGCAGCATTTTACCAACATATATACACATATAATCTTTTTTTCAGGAATCTTTGTATAAAAGGCTGAAGAAAAAGCATATAATCCTCATCAACTATGAATTTCACCCTTTTTTTGAATGTAATATAAAGCTGCAAATAACCTTTCATCTACCATTGTCGTCATTACCACTTTACCATATGTTTTGCAAAATGTTTGTTATGATATTTGAAGCAAATGGGAGAAGTTACACTGTCTCGTATGACTTTTAAATGATTTGAGGTGTTTTGTTGGAGATTCGGCTAAAATTAGCTGACATTACAGAATATCACTTTATTTTAATATAATATCACTTTACTTTATTTTAATATTTTCTCCTTTCCTGCGAACATATGCACCAAACATCCCATAGGATTCCTCGACTCACTGTTAAAATTACACCGTCGAAAATATTGTAGGAATTGTCCCATTATGAACTTAACATTCTGTTCTCCTCGCTAAACATCTCACTGTTGGTAATTCTGAAAAGGAAACGTAATCTGAACAAAAATCCCAGTAATCCCAAAAAGAAAATGAAAAGGAAACGAGCTTCAAAATCATCCCATACAGAAATGCCAATTTCAACCAGAAGCTCACAGTTACAATCAACTCGCCGCTCAAAGCTAAAAAAAAACACTTATAAAATGTGATAGTGATAGAATCAACTGTGAAAAAATTGGTATCTTGAGTTGCAACAACCGATGGAGACATTCCTGAAAGTTTTAAGATGCTTCATCACCCATATAATTTCAAAATTTTGAAAAGCATTATTTGAACGAATAAATTTATTATTAACAGAACAAATAAATGACGTTAATTTTGACAGCATGATGTTGATGACTAATAATGTGAAATTTTTTAAATCTACAACAACTATTTACCTCTTTTTTCCATTAAAATAACACAAATTTAGGTCACACTTTGAATGCTGATAAAATATTGAAATGGAACACACAAATTTAAAAGCAGGCTCTTATTTAATAATAGCTCTAGCAGTTAGAGCATATACACAATTGATGACTTGAACTGGTTGAGCAATTGAAAATGTTAAAAAAAGTAGAGTGGAACAATACTGTTGAAAAACAAAGGATGAATTGGCTTATTAAAAGACAACGGACCAAATTGTACTATGCCTACAGAAAAATATCGTTTAGTTTGCAAAACATTCAAATCTTGAAGATGCAATTCCTTTCATCTCTTCATCCTATTTTCTGAAAGCTGAAGAGAAACAATATATTATGACCGATAAATACAACGATATTTTGGCACTGGAAAAAACACTACTTAGAATATAAAATGTACATACCCGTTGTCATAATGTTCTCTAAATGATGAATAAATTAATATAGTACAAAAAGTATCATACGAAATCATAACTATAAAAATTACTTATAATATGAAATACACTGCCGTATTTTTAACCGGTTCTATAGAAATAGACGTAGTAGAAAGGAAAACATAAAACCATTTGAAAAGAAAGAAAGGGATTTTTTGCTTGTTTAGTTTCAAAAAAACAATCCAACAAATGTAACAGTTATTGACGATATAAAAATATTTAAAAAAAAATACAAAATGAAATCGATATAAACAGGTGCGAAACAATCAATAATCTCATATTAAGTAAATTTAATGCAAATCCAAAAATGCTAATAGGTCCTTTGGCACAATTTTTTTGTACTCGGCTTCATAACTGTTTCGACGTACAAAATTTGCGGCAAAACCCATAAGTGTAAGATACCGACCTGAAAATTAGCAAGGCTCTGAAGTTCCTACCGAGCTAGGAAAATTTAAATTTATTCATATTTGATTAAACCCCAAAACAAAAAAACCTCTCAAAAAACACTATTTCAGCATCACAAGAATATGGATCAAAGCTGATCGATCTAACTCGGTTTTACCTTTATATGATGAATTAATTTCACAGTATACTACGTATTGAAATGGATGCAAAACGAAAATATTTTCTCAGTTTTCATTCTAAAAGTGTGGAATTATATCGAAATTTAATAAGAGCCGCAACACGTATGATTTATTAAACAGTAATGGACAAAGCATTCAAGTTATTTGCAAAAGATTAAAACTAACCTAATTTGAGCTGTCCAGTTGCACGAGGCAATTTCGCTGAGATCAACTCGAAACATGTTTGGTCATCATTATTGCGAGCTAGGAGGGTTGCACCATTTTGAAGCAGCAACTTGACGACACTCTGCCTGGGATTACTACTCAGCAAAACCGTATGGAGTGGAGTGTTACCTAAAATACGTACATAAATTAGTACTCAAATTTAGAAGTTGAAATAAACAAACAGTGATTTAGCAAAGCTGAACAAATGATCAGCATTAAATTTATCATCTCATACTCATAAATAAGCCTTGAAACTCGAATCTCTTCTGATGCCATAAGAAATGGGTAATTTGATAAAGCTTTATACCTAATGAATTCTTCGTGTTTACATCGATTCCATTGTCGATGAGCATCGTAATCACACATGCACATGGAAAGCGGGCTGTTACTGGTTTGTCAATATCATGACAAGCAGCATGAAGAGGATACAAATTCAGGCACTTCGAAACTAGTATTAAGCGTGTAACAATATGTGATAAAGAAGTGTCAAAATCCTTCTCATCGGTTTCTGCTTCTAAATTTGATGTCAATTTGCTATCTATAGGAGACAGACGTCGAATCTGAAATGCAATAAATTTCGCACACTTTTACAATAAAATAACAAAAATTCGCATAAATATATTCACGTGTTTTCTCCAAGCCGTTTTGTTAGCAAAAATTTAGATGCTTTTAAATTGTAAATCTTGCAAGGAGAAAGCTGGATAAATACCGGTAGACAAATGGATGTGAGTAAATGCAGCGTTCTGCAAAAAATAAAATTAAAATTAAAGAATTATACTGTAAGCTATGTTTCCTTTACATATTTTTTTCCAGAAATGATTTTTTCTTCTTAGTTGTCTTGCTGCTGATGGTAAAAATCAACGGTAGAGAATAAAACCCAACCAAAAGCATCAATTGCAGGGAAGCAAGCATCAAGAAATCAGTGCACCGGTTTTCGTCATCCCTTTCATCGCTGATTTCATCTCTCTTAACTCTTCCGTCGCCATAATGGAATCTAAAATCACAATGCCTAAATAAATGAAGGGAAAAAATTAATAAGGGTAGAAATAAAGCATGGCTTACGTTGAAATTTTGTGCTTGGTTTCATACACATATAATTTCAGCTTATTCTAACATCTAACTCTTGTCCATAATCTAGCATGTCAAGAATTCTATGCTTTTTGTGAAAATATTAATTAGTTACCAATCTTAAAAATTATATCTAAAAAAAATATAAAACAACCTTTCCAATTCGTAGATAGCTTTTTCCAACACATCCATTACGCATTTGCGAGAAAGTGGAGCAACACGCACACCATCTGCATTAGCTATTATGATTCCTTCGTTCACCGTTAATATAAATGTGTCAATGAATGCTCCAATTGTAGAAATAGTTGACGGATGTAGTGCGCAAAGATGCCTTTGCTAAATAATTTCGTTTTTATTTGTTGTAAGATACACATTTAATTCAGCTATAAGTCTATCAAATTGAACCGTTGGAAGGAATAAGTCTTATCGAAGAGCTAAATACGCAAATGACAGTAAATGAGTGCCCTGAATCGTACTACTTTGCTCAAAAGAAACCCTGTAACCTCAACCTTCCTTTGGTGGTGAACATCTACTAATGCATAGAATACCAACTTCTTTAAAAAATCACAAGCTTTGAAACTACCTAATACAGTTAAAACCAAAATTCGAAAAGGTGAAACTGAGGTGAAACTTGAGGTGAAACTGCAACCTGCAGATGGAGTGCATGCATCCACAGCTGGAAGCACCGGTTTGTTTCACCCAAATCACAGTATACAGCACCACGGTAACGTATGAAATAATGTGTTTCATGATGACCTCCACCGATGATTCTTTCTCGCATAATTAATGCCTGAAGTTATCAATTATACGAACCATGAAAAAAGGAATCAGATTCATTCCACACTTATACTTACCTGCATTCTGATTGCATCAGGATCGCCAATTACATGACGTATGTCAGCAGCTGTGTCTATTTCGAACAAATCATCATAAACATGGAGAGCAGTACGCACGTGAAGTGGCTCACCGTAATTAACTGCTTCAAACCAAACACGTACAGCATTACTTAAATCCATCTTTTTATCTACCAAAGTAGCACCGAACAACTATAACAGCATTATGGATTACTATATGACATATGCAAATCAAAGAAATAGTACTTTTGTGGATGCAATATCTAAAAAGCCTTGCAATGCCTAACAAATATTTCCTCTGAAAAAATGAAGTTTGGTATAAGTGAGCGATAGTCAGTACGTAACTCCGCAAAACATGTTAAACGATTTTTGAGGCAAGTGAACATGAAATATCTTAACCTTACACAGTGAATATGTAAGGATTTCCATTTCATTATACGACTACTTTCCGAATGCTGAAGTGTTAGGCTTTCCAACGTAATATTTAGAAAGCTTTGTAGACATACTTTCAACGCGTCCCTTGTCTCTTGAGCCGTAGCTATAGCAGACAATGACTTCAGTACATCTTCATGTCCAGCTAGTGCAGCGCACTGCATTGGTGTCATATTACAATCATCTTTGACGTTTTTTGCACCAGCTTTTAATAACATGCATACAATTTCACTGGAACCAGCCTCCGCAGCATCGTGCATTGCTGTGTTTCCTGAAATGACTATTTTTGACCAAAGGAAGAAAAGTAAATGTCTAGAGGTTTCCTCAAAAAACTTGATTTTATTGACAAAGTTACGATTGACAAAGTCCAACATAACTCATTTTTCAATGCATGGTTAATGAATTAAAACATGCCCTTCACCACATCCAAGCCATCTAGAAGCGATCTTTGTCAACATAGCACAATCAGTGAATGTTCCGTTGTAAAACAAGTATGGTAACACATATGAACTTCTAGTCACAAATGGCTACCACCTATGAGAAGATGGTGCACGTAAGAGTGTTGCTATGTTCTGGGTAGAGAAAAATTTGACCATAATACTAGAACACCTTATGTTATCGTATTAGTTACATCATGAAGTTGCTATGTTTTTCTACCTAGAACAAGCGATTAACATCCATGATAAAATACCAGCCTTTATGGGAAAATTACCTTTGATAGATGCCCGGCAAGGATCTGCTCCATGGTTCAGCAGGAAGCGCACGATATCAGTTCGCATTTTAAAAGCAGCAATCATCAACGGTGTATGCCCATGTCGATTAGCCAATTCTATATCAGCCCCTTTCTTCACCAAATATTGAACTAAATAGGTATTATAGAACACATTGTAACAAGGATGATAACTAAATAATAGCACAAATGATTAATACCTATTTCGTAGTGTCCATCATAGCACGCTCCTCGTAAAGGAGAACTGTTCGACTGCGTCGTCTGATTGATATTGGCACCCGCTTCTTCAACAAGATACCGAACAATCTCTAGGTGCCCTGCGGCTGCTGCAGCCCACAAAACTGGTGCTCCAGCTAAATTTAGATCACTTTCTTAAAAAGATCGGTGAAATTCTGAAAAAAATTATCTGACAAGAAAGGCAATTGCAAATATCTCATACTGCTCAGGACAGTGGAATTCACCATAACTCTTTCAAGTAGTCCTGAATTATAAACTATTCAGAGATCTGGAACGGAGATGAGTGAAATAAGATAAGAATGGGAAATGAAGAAAACTGTTAAGATAAAGTGTTCAAATATGTTATCATTAAATCAAAGATACGAAAACTGACGGATAATTTCACCATCAAATGAGACTGTCCCCGTGATTGAGATATCTGCGCCCTTTTCCAGCTGCAATATTTTATATAAGAACGGAGAGGAAAAAATTCCGCTTAATAGCTAATAAGATTGCCAAATTATTAGCAAGAAGATGACAAACACATAAGAATCTTATAACGAACAATACAAGTACTACTAGAAAATTTGTCCGTTTTATCATATCCTTTCAATTAATAAGCTTACAATACAACAAGATTACCAAATATTTGACAACATCAAAATGGCCATTTCGAGCAGCAATGACAAGTGGTGGAGTCTGAGATTTCTGTGACGACAAACAGTGATGAAGCCATTCGTGTGATCGATCTTCCAGGAAAATACGCAATCGTCGCAAATTACCATCCCTCGCCGAATTGAAAACGATAGCTCGATATGCTTCCGGATTCATTCTCTACAACCATACACAACCAAACCGACCACTAAGCCAGTACAACTAGCCACCCTATTCCGATCACCCGCGCTAACACTTCAAGCAATTACTGGTTTAAACGCTTACTTCATGTCACATGATCTGTACGCAATAATTACGTCTCAGTCTCGATATCCTCTTCAAGATTTCTTCCAGGACTTTCCGAATAGTCGACTTCATAATCATTTTGCTAAACACCTTATTGTGTTTTAAGAAATGATAATTAAATGATAAGATAAATACGTGATCATTCATGATAATATCATTCATGACAATATAGTAATGAGGCATTTTATTATAGAATTCAAATTTCGTTCATTTGTTTGTTGTTTACTTTATAAATACAGAATTGTTTAGTGTTTATCAGCACAATTCCCACCTGTAACAAAAGAAAAGATTTAGCTAATGAACCAGAAAAGTAGGAAAAACGAAACAATCAAGTCGAAATACATCATCCGTACTTCTGTATGTTTAGTCTGGAAAATGCAAAGCATAGCAATTGAATAGTGGGTGAGAAATTAACCACTAATCCAGAATGAATAATGTTTGAATGATGGAACAAAATCCGAGGATCGAATCCTTGATCGAAATGAAAAAGTTTTATGGAAGATGGATGATGGAGAAGAAATAAAAAGCGTTTGCTAGCTTTTGCCTGAGCAATTCATTGTTTCACAAATTAATTTGGAATCATTTCAATATAATTACAATTATTAACAAGAAAGTTATAACTCATTAACGTCATTATTACGGTAATCAGTGTTAAAATAATAATTTATCAGAGTGTTTGTTATCACTGCCAATGATTATTATTAACTAATATATCAGTTGTGCATTCACATTCACAGTTACTATTGAGCTCATTCAAATCGTTATTAAATTATTACAGTTATCATAAGTATTAAACCGATGATTGTCCACTTTGATAACCAACTATCGGTTTATAAAACATATTAAAAAAAAAAAAGTATAAGCATCTCTAAATATTACAATGATTGCTGATGATAAGACAATTGATGAGTTTGACCGTTGTATCAGTTCGTGATAATTAATCTTTCCAATTCTATTTCATTTCGCTAATCGTTACTCCCAAATTGTTATTGTAATATTATCTGTTAATTTTACAAAGGCATTATCACTTTTTGAACAAATCTTTTCTCTCAATTAATTGAAATTAAAATAAGATAATTAAAATAAATTTTTAAAAGGAAAGTTTTTCGATCTTAACATTTTTTACAATTTTATATGATAATTGGTGAGAAATATTTAGCATTTGTGAAAATCAATCTTTTATTCGTAAAAAAAAAAATTTTTGCTAATGCATTTTTACAACACGAATAATTAAATGTTTTTAATGAGTATCCATTTATTCATCGAATAATAATAACCAATAAAAGTAATGTGAATGAACGATGTAGAATAGATGAAAATAATTTTCAACTAAAATATCATTTACATTGGTCGATAGGAATTCATTCATCCTTTCATCCAATTGACTGACCATTAACCACTAGTTGCTTATACTAATTGAATTAGCATAAATGCAAAGGATTATAAGCTAAGTTTAAATTTCAATTATTTTGTTCTAGTATCCATTATTGGTTTACAATGTTATGAGCAAATGTATATTATATTATATTTAAACGTAAAATGTTTCACTTGAATCGATATTATTTATATCAAACAATTGTTCGATATAAATTTTACATTTAAATAAAATTAAAACAAAAAATTCAATTTACATATTTGTTAGAAACTTCCTGAAGTTTAAATTAAAAAACTGAAGAAAATTTTAAATTGGATTTTTCTTCAATTTATGATAAGCTTTAAATATCCAGCATGTCTAATTTAAATATCTTGAATTATATTATGAAAAGTATAATAATTTATCATCTTCTTCACTGCCCATTATCTCGATTATCATCTTTTCTCAAATTAATTCACACTAATATTGATAATTAACTCCAAATTCGGTAAAACTTTCTTTTCAATTATTTAAGAAATTTTTGCGAAAATATTCGTCATCGTAAACTGAAGATGCAATATCTATTAAAATATTGTAAGAATATTTTCACAGGTAAAAAGTTTATTTTATATCAATTCTTTTTAATGTTTGAATTTGAAAAACTTCGTAAATTATATATATATATATATAAAATTTGTCTTTTCTTTTTGAAATTTACCTAGAATTCACAGAATTCATTTTCTTACGGATTTTAAAAAAGTTTACAAAAATAAACATTAAGTATCAATATGATAATTATAAAAATTTGATTGAAATGGATAAGCGAAAAGAATTATGACATACACACACACACACATATATATATATATATATATGATAACTGATAATAACCTTTTCGCCTTTGTAATTCTGTTCTTCCTTTTGTTTTGATTAATTTTGATCCATTTTATCCATATTTAAATCACTGATAAGAATATTATCAGTAAAATTTAAAAATAAAATAAAGTCGCTAGATGAACTATGCGCATTACTAAAATTGAAGTAATGATAAGTGGAATCATTCATTATCAGTGATGCAACAATTTAACAATAAACTTAAATATTTATCTTAAAATTACTTCTCTGAAACTTTCTCGTTGTATAAGTGAAATAGTTTTAGGATATGAATAATATAAAATGTTATATCTAAAAGAAAAAAGAGAAGTATTTATAACGAATCGTTTTTATAGTAAAGAAAATATATTCAAATAGTAATTTGAAAATTGTTTAATTGATTAATGAATTATTTTGCACAAGCATTGGTATGCGAATCGTTGCATATGTCGTTGAAATGCAAACAATTAATCATTTGCTTTCATAAATTTATTAATTAAACTAATTATTTATATGAAAGTATGAATAACATGTACTGTTCTGATCGATGGATAAGAATATCAGTTTTTGTAATATTCCATTTATAATTAAAATTTTTTTTTGTGTTGATTTTTTTGAATTCATTATCTTTCTTATTTCATTGTTTCATTTACTTTCATGTTAATAAAATTGAAAACAGCTTCACTTTTACCATAAATTGGAGAAAGTTTGGAGATTACAAATAGTGCGCTAATGGATCGAAAAGATTGGTAATAAATGAACACCTGGTAGGAGCCTAAAGCCGATAGAGAATGATGGATGACTGGAAGGGCGCTAAGTGAGGAACTTCCGTTAGCGCAGATAGCCGGATAATATGGTTCTATGAGAGAAGGAGTGGTCTCTTTTCCCCTCCCCTTATACCCTGATATCACAACTTCATCTGCATTCCTATAATCACGACCTCCGATAAAGCTCACGGTCTGAGCTATCTTAATCGTTCACATTACATTCACCGTATACCTGCTAAAAGCTTGGAATATTACTGTTGACCTCTACGAACTTCTTACTATCATTCATGGAGCAAACAGACGATGCAACAAATATTTTCTATGCTGATTATTTCATCGACTATGGCAAATGTTTGTTCAATTTTTTATTCTTTTCAATTTTCAAAAGAATCTTTTTGAAATTTAAAAATTAACGGAAAACAATAAAATTAGTTTCTTAAAAAACAAAATCCATCATATTAGTATAGGAAAATCGTACGATGATAATTACGTGGCTCATTAAGAAGATAACTTTGAAGTAAAGAATAATACATTAAAAAGAAAAAGTACAGAAATTGAAATCAAATAGTAAAATCAATTCATTTGAAAATAATTTTAATATGAAAAAAATATGGAATGAGAAAATCAACGATTTCTTTGTTCATTTTTAATTATGTTACCACATTTTCTTAACAGTCGTTGTTATTCCTTTTTTTTCCTAATCAATACATTTCGCATAAGAATTTCATCATTTATTATGGGCTAATTCGATTTTCCATCAAACGGATACAACGATTCCACCATTTTACTATTCCTATTTTGAAAAGATCGTAAGAGCTAATAGTAATTTAAGCATAGCAAAAATCTGATCTGATCAATGTACATATGATACAGATGAATTGAAGTATTTGCAGTAAATTTTGATTCTATCTACAAATCTGTCAAATTTTTGAATTATTTTTAATTATCCACATTTTGCAACAAATTTTTTCCTTGATTCATTATAGAAAAAAGGAGAAAAAAGAAGGTGAATTGATTGGGATTAAATTTGCAAATTCATTTTATCAAAAATTACGCCTTTTTAAATGAATCGATTAACCTGTTCTTTTTTCCGATTACAATTTCAAGACATTCAATTTTTCCGGTTAAGTTGTAACATTTTATCAAGTTGATGTACGTTTTCTATTGCATTTGTTGGATATTGCAATAACATCACAAAAAAAGAAGTGAATTTGCAAATGTAAATAATCACCAAAGAATGATAATACCAAATCGTTGTAAACAATACGAGCACATAAAGAGATATTTTTCAATAAAGTCGATTTTTGAAATTCATAAAATCTCTTTGATATATTCATTCTGCAAGTTGACTTTGTTTTGTTTGGATTAATTTTTAAAATGATTAATTCTTTCTAAACTCCCAAAAGAAAATAATAAAGTTGAATTGAACAGAGAAGGTAGAAAAATAACGGTTCCTTATTTTGAAAAAGAAATTTCAAAATGCTGAGTTAAATTTAAATTACACGTTCTATAATAAATGGATATGATCAACGGTCGGATATAACGAAAATTTTGCAATCTTACAAAATGATTAATAACTGGGGTATGATTAAGTTTATCGGGGAAAAAAATATTTTGTATAAAAATAAACGAGCGCTTTGACAAATGTAATAAGCAGATCAGGACAGATGGAATAGAAAATATTAAGCTGAACACTAAATGTAGAATTTGTAATTTAATGGATAGATGTGATAAAATGATCAAATTACCAACTTATCATATTGTAAGAATATTAAGTTATAAGCTAATACATTAGTAAAATTACACTAGCTTAATCAAATACTGAGAATTTTACGTGTGTACAATTAGACTGATACGATATATGTTAATCGATAAACCTGGATAAGTATTGGATGAAATGTTCAAATACAATAAATCTGAAACTAATAGTCAAAGGACTAAATGACTGAGAGGAAGAGAAAGGCGGGGGAGAGAAGGACCGGAAAAAAGAAAATATTGATAATACCGATATTAAACTAATTTCTCTTCATGTATGGAATAGAAAGTGTCATATCACATTAATGGGGATATTATTGGATTAATTGTTGTATTTATGATATTTTAGCAAACTGTATCAGTATAAATTTATTCCATCTTCCTTTCCCTCTCTCTCTCTCTCTCGTTTTGAAAACAGCCGAGAAAGAGGTAGAGAGAGAGGAAGAGTGAAGGAAAGGAAAATAGTTCAATACAATTAGCCAATATCATTTTCATATTAATATCCTCCACCTTTTTTTTTCTCTCTCTCTCTCTCTGTCTCTTTTTTTGCCCCAATTTTTGATCTAATGTGAGAAAAAAAGTTTACGATTTAATTAAGTTTTATGGATGATAATGTCAAACGATCATTCTTGAAAGTATCGGATATTTGGAATGGTTTCATTATTGTGTATAATATGTAAATTGATATGAAAATGGACTAGACTGTGGGATGAATGATCGGCGCCAATGGTTGGTTAGATGCAGCATTTTGTATTCGATGGTATCAACATCCATTTGGCCATCAATTGAAATGACTCAAACAGGATTCTTAACCCCTTCGAGCGTTTTTACCATGAAGAATGATAGAACGAGAAGGAAGAATATAAGGGATGAAAAAGAGGTAATGAAATGAGAGAGAAAGGGAGAAAGAGGATGAAATAGTGGTTAGAAGAGATTGTCACATTATGTTTCCCACTTTCACATTCCCAAGGTCTTAAACTATTATTCCATCTCCCCCGCCTCCTATTCAAATGTCTCAATTTTCCTTCAATGAAAATTTCAAACCTTTTCTACTTTTTCCTTCATCCTATCCCATCCGCAAGACAAATAATCATAATGCGCTTCTGTCGCATACGACAGAAGCGCATTATTTTTTCATTTCCATATTTGCCACATTAATCAACTTCTTTCTCATTGACCATTCGTGATGCTGTCACTTTCTTTTGTTTTTAATCAAATTTTCAACACATATTTCATACTACACTTCCAATATTTTTATTCGAAAGTTTCATTTTGCCTTTGAAAATTTGAACTTTCATTTCTTTCATTTCTTTAATTTCTTCATTTTTCTACATTGCAAAGTTTTCCAATATCCGAAAAAAAAAGGAGAAAAGACTGCTTCAACAGAAAATCAATGGACAGATTGATTTTAAAAAGATCCCATTAATTATTTAGTTAATTAACATTTTTATTAACTATGATTATTGCAATTGGAATGATTTGATAATGCAAGAATGATTATGATAATAATCATCAAAAAATAATTATGGATAAATGATAGTGCAATTTGGTAGTGATTAATTCTTATTGCTATAACAAGAAAAAGATTGCAGAATTTCTAAAGTTAGGATAAATTTACACAAACAGTTGTTCATATTATACAAATCATTTCCTTAAATATCTTACTTTCGGCTTCCTGAAATATGTTCCTTCCGGTCCCTTTTTTTTTTTGACAACTTTCATACTTCTTTGAAGTATTTCATTTGCTTAATATTTCATAATATAATGTATGACATCATTATTGTTCTATTTCGTGTACTGCCAATCGCAATTAATGATTACAATCAATGTCGCAAGGAATCATCTTGAAATTATCCCGAGGTTATCAACATTATTAAGAAGATTTGATTGCGAGAAAATATACATTTTAAAGTATCCATTATTCAGTATTACTATTTGTTGTAAGGAATTCAGAAAATACTGCGATCGAAATTTGTATTATTATTATTATAAATTTTAGGAAAAAAAAGTGCTCGTAATCATTCAAATTTCATATTTGCATTATTTTTTAAAAAATTAAAAAATTTTTTTTCCCTAGCAATTATCATATAAATGAAATATATTGAATGAATATGAAAAAAGAGCAAATCAATTAATGAATTAGAATTTTAAACTTTTTCATGCAACATTTTTACGGATTTATTTTAAAGAATTAGATAGCGAGAATAGATCAGTTAATTAATTAATGATAATATGACAAGTTAGATATTTAATCCCAATTAAAACTACCTAATATTATTGAACTATGAATTTTCAGGGTTTTTTCCTTTTCAATTCCATAAATCTGTTTGTTTAGAGTTAGAATGAGCGAAAGAAATCTGCAATATACTCTTAATTAATAGTATCGCTGTGCCTCATTAATTATGATGTCTTTTTTTTGAATTATAGCGATACTATTAACATTATGTTCTTTTTGTTATCACTGTCGAAGTTCTTTTCTTCCTTTTTTTTTAAATAGAGATTTAATCTTCCAATTTTCTTAATAAATTTTGTGGGTATTTGAGCATATAATATCGTTATTAATATCTATAATAGTGATAATAATATATAGGATTTATCCAAAGCTACGTAAGATGATAAGTAGTTCAAAGGTCATCCGTTATCTATTTTTCTTATCGGTGTTCAAATCTGAGTAGCATGAATGATATTTGATATGCATACTGATTGTACAGGTACATTCACCAGCGATACGATCAAGTCAAGTGTTTATTCATTGGATATGGTGTGAAAGACATGAGGGGCGACATGAGAGGAGGAGGGATGCGACATCTGCGAACAGCTGGTGCTGGTAGTAGTAGTAGTGGTAGTAGTAGTAGTAGTAGTAGTAGTAGTAGTAGTAGTAGTAGTAGTAGTAGTAGTAGTAGTAGTAGTAGTAGTAGTAGTAGTAGTACTACTAGTAGTTGATCGCAGTGAAAGAAGGGAAGATATAAGCAGAAGGAGGAAATGCAAAGATATTTGATGGTCATCAGCAGCAGCAGCAGTCATTCAGCCCCCGAAATAATGATTCCCCTCCCGTGTTCACGTCGTGGGTGGGTGAGTGGGTTGGTTGATTGGTTTGTTTGAGATTTCTGACCGAGATATTTCCTGAGCCTTCGATCTTCCTCCTTCTCCACTTGTGGTACCTCTATTCCATCATATATTCCCCTCTCCCCTCCCCTTCACCCTCGTTTTCCCCCCGCTCATTCCCACTCCCCCACCATCTTTCCATCGCAGTTATCCTCTCTGTTTACCATATGCGTGCTCATTTCAAACCACTATTTCAAATACAAATAACTAATCAACGGTATAAGCCAATACTGTCTGGGTTATTCAGTTATTCAGCATCACACATCTCCAAATTACTGATTGCATGCATCATCGCATGCTGCGTGTTGCTATCACTAAATGCGAGGAATTTTAATAATTCATAAAAAGCATTTATTCATCTTATTTGTGAGACAAGTCATCCGATACTTTAATTTTTGCCACACACACACACACACACACACACACCGATATTTGATGATTACTGCGGAGATGATCTATTATCATAACGTCTGTTCATCGTTCATCTGTTTTGTTACTAGCTTATTTTAACTTATTTAAACGATAATTCAAAATTCTATAATAATCATATTATTAGAGTACTATTACTGACCATCAAATGTAATGTCACCTTTTTGATTCCATTTTTGCCATTATTTTTATAAATTATCTGTTTGTCTTAATTTCCAACCGTATCATCAGATCAATTCTTACTGATTTATTGATTTATTAGTCTATATTCTATTATAATTTCCACTTTTTGTATTTTAACATTATGAGTATACAATTTCATTAGCCATATAACACTATTTTTGCCACATTTTAATACAAAAATAACTTGACCATATGAAAAGTGAAATTTGGCTTCATACTGCAATCTAACAGATCATGAAAACCAATAAATCAATAAGAATTGATGGTCAAGCCATTTTTGTATTAAATTTGTTCGATGATCTGTTACCTATTTTATGATGAATATTTCTACGTTTAAAATGCTATCATACAAAAGAGACAAATAGATAAATGAAAGAAAAATCTAAACCGTAATTAAAATCTAAATTCTAAATTCAGTATTGGAATAAAATTAAAGTTTATCGAAATATTCATGATTTCAATAATTTGCAAAAAAAGAAGTTTACTGATAGAATGAATAGAATTAGCTATATATGATAGAAAATTGTGGTTGAATAATATTTATTTCTTGAGCTTTTATTTTTCATCTATAAATTTCGATTACAAAATTTTGATTTAACAATTTATGCCGAACAGTATCCTGTTAAATTAAATTAAAACCCAATGAATTCTTATTCCCTTCTACGCTTATAATTATTGTTTATAGCGAAAAGATTTCTCTCTCTCTCTCTTTGCAAATGATAAATGATTAAATTGTTTACATTAAATCATTCATTATCAATTTCCGTGTGCATATTTGAATTTATCTTATAATTATCAATAAATCGATCATTCATCTTTTCTTCTGCAAAATTATTAAATTCTTTAATTAAACTTATCAATCATAATTTCTATTCTCTTAAATTATATTTTCAATAACAAAGAAATTTTATTGTTTACAGAAATTTTACACTTAATTTTTTTTCCCCATTTTCATTTAAAATTTAAATAATTTTGAAAAATCTATTTTTATGAAAAAATATTTCTGCATTTAAAATGCTATCATACGAAATGAGACAAATAGACAATTGGAAATAATATTAATGTTGACGATGAGTCATAAAATGTGATTGTTTAAGATAATTTATAAAAATACAACAAAGCAAGAGTGACATGGTTAGGATTACGGAAAGATTTATTCATATTATCCATTCTATATTATCCATAATCGGTCAGCCTTATTTAGCTTCATTCTACTAGCTTTTAAGCATATTTTTAGCTTCATCAACTTGTAATTACCATACCTCAATTCAGAAAATAGCTTATTACTTTGTTCTATTAAATAATGAATATCAATAATGTGAAATCACATGAAATTCTATTTTAAAAATTTAATGAGAAATAAATTTTGAAGATTTTTTGATTATCTATTGAAATCAATTTAATTGATAAAATTGTGATAAATATGTCACTTCTATAAATATTATCTCAATTGATGATCAGAGAGGAGTCGTAGTAGTAGTAGTAAATAGTTGTAATTGTTGTCTATTGACAGAGGAATTACTGAAAGATATCAAAATGTTTGTTCAATGTAATAATTTTACATCATTTCGATGATATTTTTAATTATTATGTTATTACTAGTTGTAATATAATTTTGCATTATAATAAATATAAACATAAACTATATATATGTATATTATCATTTGTCATAGTAAATTTTGCAAGAAAAGAATTAAAATTTAATTTTAAAATTGAAAAGATTTCATTAGTCATTTTAATTGCTAAAATTAGTAAATTTCATTTAATTGTAAGATTGAAAAGATAAGTGTTAAAAATATTTTCCCGTTTTTTTATAAAAATAATGTTGCAAAAAAGAATGGAAAAATTGAAATGATTGTTGTAAAATATTTAATTTAATAAATAATGATAATATGAGATGATATGATATGATATGATACGATATGATATGATAAGATAAAAAGATGCGTGTAATTTTTTCCATTTCATAATTTCATTTAATTACTCATTTTATTGATGGATTTTTATTTTTAAAATAAATAATGGAACAATCTTTGAGGCATATTATATCACATTTAAAAATCTCAATTTTTAGTCATTTTAATTGCTAAAATTACATATACATCGCATCAAATCGTTGCTGATTTTTGAGTCATCACTTTTATTTCATTTCATTTCATTTCATTTCATTCCATTTCAAATCATTTCATTCCATTTCAATTCATTTCAATTCATTTCATTTCATTTCAATTCATTTCATTTCATTTCAAATCATTTCATTCCATTTCAATTCATTTCATTTCATTCCATTCCCATTTTGCAATCTTATCAGCCCTTCTCTTTTTTCCTTCATCTAAAGAGGCAACCAAATAACTAAACTTTAAACTTTATCATTGTTGCTCCTCTTCTTTTTCTTCTTCTATTCATTTTTATCTCTCTCTCTCTCTTTCTCTATCTTTTCAAAAAAATTTTCATAGATTGAAATTACTAAAATATCTCAATAAAATTTTAGATTTTTTCTTTTTCACTTTATTTATTTATCATAAATGAATTATAAATAATACGATTATTGATTGAAATTTTAGATGATATTTATAGGTATTATTCTGTAATTTGAAATCTAATTTTAATTGAATATAATGTATGTGATAAAAATTAAAAATCAAAAATTGAAATACGAAATGGAATTAATGATTAGAGGAAAAATATATCAAATCAGTTGTTAACTAAAATAATAAAAAGCTAAAAACTAATAAGAATCTATGCTAAATTTCTTATCCATCTTTTGTCACGAAAATTTTCATGACAACCTTCCTGTACAAATAGTTTCATTGTTGGATAAGTCGTTAAAATGTATCGCACAATGGAATAATTATAATAGTAATGGTATATTATTTTACATCTGCTTCTTATTGTAGTCTTATATTTTTAAAAAATTTTTTCAATTGAATTTTTAAACTTAAACTGTAATATTTGTATTTTGAAATTTTAACTATATATCCTTGGCATTTTATAATTAATTGAGAATCAACAATAGCTGAAGATGATCATGATCGAGCATTCTTTTAAGAAATTTGAACTTATCCAAGATAAGTTCGAAGATTGATTCACCCTAATTAATAATTGTCTAATTAACAGAATGATACAGTTTCATAAGCATTATTGATACCTATGATCAGATAACAAGAATGCATACAATGTCTGATTATTCCTGACAATCTTGTTGATCATTAAAGTATTGTAGTATTTCCGCTAATCTTACTGCATATTTAAAAACTATCCGTAGACTATTTTCATTTTTTTAATATATATATTTAAAACTTTAAAATGTTTTTGAAATTTAAATTCATATCCGAAAATTTATCATTTATTACATTTTCATTTTACTTTACAATTATTTATCAGTTATTCACGTTTCCTAAAAAGCCAACAAATGTTATCACCTAATTTACTTTACTTATTTATCCATCCTATAGTTTTAAAAAATCAAAAAAGCTGAATGAATTTTTCAAATGAAGAAAAATTCTGAAACTTGGTTAATTTTTTTAGGGATAAAATTGCCATTATATACTGTAGGAGCGCAGTTATTGTCATAAATATGTAAATATTGGGCGGAAATAATATTGATGATATACGTCGGGTATCTATGAATCTCATTTATTTCATCAGAAAAGAAATGGGTATGGAGGAAGAGGAATTCGTTTCCTTCATACTTCGTTCATTGCTTGAATCATTTCTTTCATACTCCGTTGTTGCTATATTTCAAATTGACGTATACGTGGAAGAGATATTATTGCATTTTCCTTCTTTCATAAAACTATTGCCGTAAACTATAATTAGCTAAATTGATAGCATATTATTATTACCGCTATCAGTTATCAATGATATCATCGTCAGATGTCTGATAAAATTAATTAATTTCACTTCGTATACAAATATTATCAATCGTTTTATAATATCATCTCAATTCAATTCTAATTGAAATTATTCATTTTTTTTTTGCTCTCTCTCTCCCTCTCTTCTTCCTCTTCCATTCTTTTGCGGCAAATTTAGTTTTCATCCAACTCAAAGGGAAACCGATTTTTGACTTTGATATCGAAACCAAAACCAAAAACGATAGAGGGCATCAACAACAGGCGGATACTATCATCATAAGATTGAAAGCAATTGCCGGTGCGACAATCCTTCACACTTTCCACCAGAAAGATATAAGTGTTCCTTTTAATGCTTTTTGCTTAAAGTACCATTTGCTTCGATCAACAGATTTCCCTTTTTTTTTTTTCTTTCTTTTTGTTTACTTGTTGACTTTTATGACGCACAGAATTGTTTTTCCTTATTTTTTGTATAGCTCCCATAATATCATATCACAATTGTTTTGCTGTTATTTTCTGTTGAACAAAAAAATAAAAATAATTAACATTCTTTAATAATTAGATACGATAAAATTTTTGCTAAAACAAAACAACATTTTAATTATTTTAATAAAATAAAATTTCTTTTAAAAAAAATTATGAAATCATTTATACGATAATCAAAAATCGTCAAAAGATAAATTAAATAAAAATTTTTCTTTTTTTGTTGAAATTTTATAGTGATGAATGAAATTGCATTGATTGAATCACCACAATCAACATATATAACACGATCACGAAATGCGACATTAACGTGTCGAGCGCTTAATGCTAAACGTATACGTTTTAAATGTAATGGACATTGGGTATGTTTTATAAATAATTGCAAAAATAAACAAATGTTATTTGTTTATGCTAAATAATTTCTGATAATTTTTAATATGAAAATAAAAATTTAAACAATTGAAAATTTGTTAAAATTTAATTGTTCTTTGAATTAGATTTTAATTATTTAAAAATTTGTCGGAATTAATCTTAAAAATTTTCCGTTTATTTAATTTACAATATAGCACCATAGGTTTTTATGATAGCGTAACATTACTTATTTAGTTACATGAATGAGTTATCTGATAAAAAAAAAATAATCAACTTAATTATGCTCTATATAATTCGATTATTTTATTCCCATTATACGAAATTGAATTTTTATTATTAGCTGGACGATTCACGCCATAATGTATCACATGGAATAGATGCTGCAACCCATTTGCCCTTTCATAAAGCAACCGTTGAAATTGATCGTCAAGAAATAAATATTCATCCCGGTGATTTCACGTGCCAATGTTATGCATCCACTGATTCTGACGTACAAGTGGTTCGTTCCGAATCAGCACGTGTTCGTATCGCATGTAAGTGAAAATTTTGTTCCATATTATTTCCTATTTATCATTTCTAATAATATTTGAAGATTTTTCATCAAAATTTTTAGGAAAAAGTAGATCATGTTGAAAAATCCCTCTCATTCATATCTTCCTTATATATTTTGAAAAGAAAATTTTAAATAAAATTTCATCAATTTTTATATTTTAATCTGCTTTTGAAAAATTGAACTTTATTTTGTTCGATAGAAGAAAGAATTTCAACAATAATTAAAATTTTAATTTCAGTGCAAAAACAATACAATTCCTTTCTTTCCATTAATACACTATCATCATAATTCATTTCACAAATATTTTTATTTACAACAATTTCTTCTCTTCGCTTTTTATTTGCAACAAATGAAATATCGAAGAGAAATACCTTTACCTACGAACTAATTAGATTCTTTTTTTTTTCTTTTTTATAAACCGAATTCGAAATTCTTGCAAAATTACAACTTTCATTTACATCATTTAATTCAACTAATTATCAAATTATTAAATTTTACTTTAAAAATTTCATTTACTTTTGTTTCTTTCTTTCTTTTTTTGCCGCTATGATTTCTGTTAATTGTTAATTAAGCGACAATATTTAATTAAATTGAATTTTAAATCTTCCAAAGATTATAAAGTTTTTTTAAAAAAAATTGGAATTGCTGAAAAATTTAGGATAATAAAAATATATTGGAAACTATGAATTGTGTGAATTATAATATAATAATAATAGTATAAATAATAATGATGATCATTTTAGGATTATTTGTTCTTCATGAATATATTCATGCTCAATTGAGCATTACTAATCGAGATTTAATCATTATTCAACCTTGTCTAATTCCATTTTCAACTATCATACCTATCAAAAATTAGTTCATTTAAAATGGTATCACAATGTTGATATTTGCAAAATTTTATTCAATTTTAATTAATTAATATTTCGAAACAATAAACATAATTACACAAGTAAAGCATTTTTTGAGGAGTGAAAAAAACGAGAAGAGTGAAATGAAAACTGCATTTCTCCTTCTTCTTCTTCTTTTTTTGCTAAAAAATCCTTAAATTTTATTATCATAGAAGTTTGTGATATGAACTTGCATAATTATATGTAATTAATGAATGATTGCAACTTTCGAATTTAAAAAATTAAAAGAAAATATTGAATATTTAATTAGAAAAAGGTATACTAAAAAAGTAATACAAATATTCGATTGATTGATTTGCATGTTGCAGTACTGTGATATTAGAAAATTTCGCAAAATCTGCAAGTAAGTAAGTATGTAGTAATTGACCGCGCAATTAGTGTTATTTAGCGACATTTTGAAGTGGACACCGTGAAGTGTACTTGACATAATCACAAATGCTAACGTCCATCATTATTATATATTTGACTGATTAAAACGACGATTGATTGACCGATATAAGTTGAAATTAGTTGTTTAAATCAAAGCTGACCATTATACTAAAATACCCGATGATCGTTAGCAGAAACTCTAAACTAAGTAAAATTATTGAAGCATTTTGAAAATGCTAAATGATTTTAAATAATGTGAACTATTTGTAAAAGAGTAAAAGTGAAAGATGAGAAGAAAAAGGAAGAGAGAGAGAGGGAGAGAGAGAGAGAGATGGGATATGGGCACTTTTGAATTGATGCCGGTGAAACGTCTCATGAGAGTAACAAATTTTAAATTGTGACATTGGATGAATGTCCTCTTCTCTTCTTTCATCCTCATCCTTTAACCCCTTTTTACGCTCAACTAGCAATTGCTAAATCACACTGATACTTTGAAGTGTACCATGTAAATATTCATACAAACATTTCACATTGTATTACATCTTTCATATATTTGCATAATGCGAAGAGTTCAGAAAGCATTTTTGAATTCAACCAAATTTCATACCCATAAATCATCTATTAATTTTTAATGCAATTGCTTCTCCATTCTAAAAATATCACTCTATCTTCGACTAAAAAAGAAAATGAAAAATCAAATAAAAATAATTTCATTTCATATAACTTTCATTTCTTTTCATTCAACATTATCATCATCTACTGCAAATAAATTATATCTATCATTATAAATAATAAAATCAATATTTTATCTATTAACATTTAATGCTAATCTTCTGGAATATATACATTTATAATATTTAAACTTTTTTATAATATTTATTCTTAAATTATTCCTTCTCTTTTACTATCTTTATCATCATTGTCGGATATGGAATCTATAAAGAATTTCCTCAATCTTTTTTTCCCCCCGTTTTTCCCGTTCTTCCCGAGAGAAAAAAGACCGATGATAAGAGAAAAAGAAAATTTCTCGTTTAAATCAAAAAAAGAAAATCTAAATTCATGAAAAGTGCTATGTACATTTTTTCTTTTGCAACAAAATCATCATTGTCGATCGGATACAGGATATATTTCTGCTTTTTTTGAAGGAATTTCATTTTTCATTTAAAAACTTCTCCTAAGTAATTTATGGTAAATGAATATATACCTGTATATACATACAGGTATATATTCAAATTATATATACGTACAGGTATATATTCATACTTTAAATTATTTAAATTTAGACAAATTGGAATGTATTTTTGTTCGAAATGTACAGACAAATGTACAGATTTAATTCATAGCTTTATGAAATTTAAATTCGCATTTAGCGTCACTAAATTTGATCATTTATAAAGCATAGATTATGATTTATATTTTCAAGTATATTATTATGATGCAAGTTTTCCATGATACTGCTGATAACAACAGCGATAAATTGAATTGCTCTTTTAAAGGTCACAGATACGAAGAACTGCTACTTTAAAAAAAAATATGGAACTCATAAATATAAAAAAAATCGAGAAAGGAGGACGATCGGCAAAAAAAAAAGGGTCAATTAAAATAAAAGAAAATTAAAGATTTGGTGGAATTTTTCGTTCGATGAATTTTTCGAGAAATAAATAGATGAAATGTAAAGTTGAAAATATAATGGTTTAATAATGATAAACAATCGATCATATCGTTCATATATTTATTTTTTTATATGTTTACTTTTTTTGTTTTTCATTTTTAATTTGTTATAGTTTAATTAGATGAAATCAAATTTCAATGCTGCAATTTTTTCTTTCTTTCTTTATTCCAATAATTATGATATAATATTTTAACTTAAATTTCCTTTTTTTTCTTTATTCGAAAACTTCGCATTTTTCAAATTAAAGAATTAATCGATCGATCATTCATTCTGACAGATCTTCCACAAATTTCCACCCATCTTATAGCACAGTTTTGCTTAATACAAATAGTTTAAAGTTATAAAATTGCTGTTTGGATAACAATATCGATAAGTAATATATTTTAATTGTGTAAAAATGGGAATTCTGTTAAGCAGCTGACTCTTTAATGATTAGAAAAAAAGTAAATATTTCATCTGGAATAGTTTATAAATTTATTTATTGATCCTAAAATGTATACATTATTTTTTCCTGGAAGATAATATTTTCCGGTATTACAATAAACTTATGATACGGAAAAATGTTCCAAATCAATTTTAAATAGAAATTTATTGCAGCATAGAGAATTTATTCAAATATCTTTTGCTATCTCGAAATTTAAAAAATCCCAACAATGATGTAATATGTTTTACAACTTTCAATTAATAATATATTTCAATAGTGAATATTCAACGGTATTGAAATAAAATATTTGTGAACATGAAATCATGCAATT